CCACCTAATCCTATCGAGTTCTCCAAACAGTCCCAGATGTTTAATGTTCTGCAAGTCACAGGAGCCACTTCTAATGCTAGTTTTGTGCTACAGTCTCGCCTGTTAAAAGCCAAGCCAAGCTCAAAAGTGACATGCAGCTACAATGACAAAACAGAACTGTAGCCTCTGTTCTGGTCTTGAGAGAGAAAATAGGAATCCATTTTTCCCAGACCCTTTCTCTATATAAAACAGCGTTTTAAGGGCTTCATATTGGAAGAAAATGAATACCATTTAGCACTTGGCTGTGGAACTCCCCAAATGCTGCTCCTGTTCTACAAAGGCCAAAGCCAGCTCTACTTACTCCACCTGTGCAGTATGAGCGAGAGAAAAGGTGTCTTCCCTTTCAAACTATCCCATCATAGTGCCAACCAGCACCCAAGAAAGGTATAATACACTTAATAGCTTGCAAAAGCATTGCAAAAGAGCAATAATACACTGATACAATGCAGGCTACTCTCTGACTCTCTTCTGACTGTCTCTAAGGACACCGAGAAATGAAAAAGCCTTTGTGCCTGTTGCATCCCCACTTTACAAAGCACACAATAGCACATGACACGTTACTCCCACTTTCACTTTTCACAGTGGAGCCAACTTTCATCCTCCTTTTCGCTGCAAAGCATTAAGTTTTTCTCCGTTAAAAAAGCATTCAGACTTTGCGGCTTTTCACTCTGTAGTTCAGAAGGGCCTTGACTGCAACTCTTGGGCTATTATTCTGTCCAAGTTGTGCAAGACAGTGCCTTTAAATCTGTAAAATTCCCATTCTTCTACTACAGAATAAGCAAATGAGAAATTATTTTAAGCGCTCTATACGTTACAGGGATTGTATTACAAAGTACGGCTATGGTAGTTAAAGTAGAACCTTCCTTTATCATGGTCAACACCAGACCTAGTGGACTTGAAGGGATTGTCCACTGCAGAGATGCACTATAATTCCCCCTTTCAGACTATTAATTTCAGTACTCAGAGAGCCCTATTGGGTTCACCACTCAACTGTCCAAAAATTCTGTGTGTGACAGAAAATACAGGGAAACTTTGGGCAAAATCATGATCTTGGAAAAAACTTCAGGAAAACTTTCTATCAATCTATTTGAGCGTGCTTGAGGACATGAATACTGAGTCTTTGGAAAAAATGCAAAATTCACACAAAGCACACAAAAACCACCAATGTATTCTCTCATGCTCCCACGAGAGAATTTTTAACCAATAAATTCGTATTTCTAGTCATCCAACAAAATCAGTCTTTGTTGCCAAACAAGGCTAAAATACACTTACTGGGAAAGACCATATCTGGGTCCAGAATAAAAAGCTGTATAAGATACTGTATCAGCTGGAATGTACAAAGAGTAAAATGATGTTGTTCTACCATAAATAACATACCTGTTTACAAGCTTATTGAGCATATTCCTCTGAAAGTTTGTGAAAGCGTGATAAGCAATGGCATAAAAGTTCAAGTTTTCTAAGTATATTATACCTATTCAAATTGATTCTCACATAGGCTTTTCACAATGATAACAATAATTTGGCAAAGCAGAGAATGGTTGCTCAAATGAAAGGGCTAGCTTTTTTCATACGTGTGACTCAACAGGTTTTTACCTCTAATAGTAAAATCAGCATCTTCTCTATTTTTCCTATTGCTCATTTGAATCTGCAGGGCGACACACATACACAAAAAGCCTGATTCATGTTTTATGACAAAATAATTACCTTAACTCTGACAAATTCCTGTAAAATATATAAATTTTTTAATAAGCACTGCAAGGTAGGAAAGAAAAGTTAATTACCACATAACTGTATCACAGCAATTTAGTAGAAACATTACTGCTGTATTTAGACACTAGATGTAGTTCCTCTGACAGGAAGATTTCCTTCCCAGGAAATATAGCTATATACATACGTAAACTTGTGATGTGCATGTAGAGTTGAAGAGAAGTAAAGCAGCCTTGCATTTCTCCTTCCACACAGTGTGTTGTATTCCTAGTTAGAAGTCATTGGAGTAGAAATAATGCATGAGTAGCAAGAACTCCAAACAAATATACAGGTAAGATTTGATCTCATCTGCCACCCTGGTCTTACAGCTTACTTGGTGACCTAAGGAAGGTCCATTTCAGTTCAAGGGTGGTCCCTTCTGTGGGTTCCTGTGTTACCTTCCAGCTTTCCTCCTCTTCTATCAGAGAAGTTTTCAGGAAGAAGTGAAGAGAGGAAGGCATGGTTAAGGATGTTGATGAACTTCCAGGATTGATCCTTCCAGGCTGTTTACAGCTCAAAGAGCAGCACCTCAACATCAGAAAAGAGGACCTACAGAACTGAGGATGCCACAGTCAGCGTTTGGCCTGGTACTCAAGGAAGAACGGAGCATGGAACAAATCCTTCGCAACTCCCAAGTTCTTTCCTTACCTCCCATGCAGTGCTATCAAAAAAATAAATAATCAAAGACTTGACCAATAGACACTTTGCCAGATATAACAGAAACTGCAAGAAAACGCATGGTTATAATAGGCAACATTAAACAATACAGGTTCTCTCTAATTACTTCTCTAACAGGTTTTATTAATGCAGTGTTTCCTGTAACACTGAGTACTAAATTGTTTTGTCAAGTGGCAAAAGTGCCTCTACAGTCTCTTACGTGCTACAACTTGTGCTTCATGTTCTGCCAGTGTCTTTTGAAATGGTGCTTGATTGGCAGTATAAAAGCAAAGAAACCGCTACCAAAATGAAATACCATTTTCAGAAACCTGCTTTCAGCCTGACAGTCTGGAGATGTCCCCATATCTATTTGAGAGAAAGCAGGTTACAAATGGATTTTCATTGAGTGGTAATTCATGATTTTGTAGCTCCATATTGGGAAGGGATAAATGAGCTAGAAAGACACGGTTTTAATATAAAAGCCTTCTTATACAGGAGCAAAATCTTTTATAGAGTCTTATAGAGTTCATCACGGTTTATAAATTCATGTCACCAATTGTGATATCAGTGTATGTGAAGAGGGAAAGATTTTCCACTAGCGTAATGGTACTAGTCACAGTTGGATCACCATAACTCCTCTTACTTATACCATCTGGCCTGTACCATTTTTTTCTTAGTCTTCACTTACTAAACTTACAAATAAAGGACTTTATTTGTTAATGCTTTGTTCCAAACAGGCAAATCTAGTTTGATAAAGTAGGATTAATTTACGTATGTTACAAATGTGGAAAACCCCAGTAACTTTTTTTATATGAATCAACAGGGCTTCTTTTCTGAAAGATCATATACAAAGTTAAGGTAAATAAGTGAATGGATTTAACAAATGTCCATACTAATGTCTCAGACACTGTCACAGGATTTCAAACCAACATACCCATTTCTAGCAGGTCCTGAGATGCCCGAAAGCTTCTTTGAAGCAACCACATAGACACTCGCTCCTATAGATTTCTAACTGGAAACAAACTGGCTAGAACAATCTGAGTATTTAACCTAAGTATCCCATCTCTGAGTGTCAAAGACAATAAACATGAAGCATTACCAGTCCGTTTCTGAAAGTCAGATCCAAAAGGCACCGAGACATATTTGGGGCAATGCAAGAAATCAGTCCTCTTACCACCACCCAGACACAATTAAAGAAGCCATCATAAAATAGTCACTGCTCTGCCATGAAAGGCTTTGCCCTTATAGCTGCTTGTTCACATACTTGCGCAGAAGCAGCCCCAGGACACCTGGAAGGACAGGAGGTCAGAGTTCCCCGCATCTCCCTCAGTGCAAAGAAGGAACAAGTGCCGTCAGCTCTGGAGCACGACAGGAGAAACTGCAGCCTGCCAAGCTTTTGAGACAAAACAGCAAGAAACACAACTTCAGGGAGAGCAACCAAAGAGCATCCTTTTTAATATCAAGGAAAAGAATAATTTGTGCTGGGTGAGTCAAGACTTTATTGCTAAACCAGCTTAAATTAAAGCAGGTGGAAAACTACTATGCTCAGTAACCAATGAAAGCACAAAAATCAGTTTCACAAATCATTTCTTAGCATTCCAGTTGCAGCAAGCAGGAGATTCAGAAAAGCTTATTTTAATGAAAAACTTTATTTTTCATTACAATTCACAGTTTATACACGGCAAAACAAACCCTTGCCATGTGGACATTCAGAACACTGTGCTGGGGAGACAAGGATCTTTGTTATAAGCTGTGTCATGGAATCTCCTTTGTTTTAAAAGCGTACTCTTTGTAAATGTTAATTGACTGATATTTACACTTAATGGACTGAATTTACATATTAACTTATATTTTATTAGAAAACAAGCTAAGCATCCAAAAAACATTAACATTCATATCTTGCATGTTATCTAATGGTCAGAGATGCTGTAATATTTGCCACTTGAATCATGCCCAATCAGCAAAGTCCCATTCTTTAATTTACACAGAACCTTAATTGTTCTCTTAAGGCCTGTTCTATTCATTTTATGTACAGCCAGGTTACAATAGATTAACATAAGAAAAAAAAATGCAAAATTATCCATTCCATCCTGCATTTCTTCTGAATCTCATGTACACCTATAAGCAAAACAGAAGGTACAAAATTAAAGTGTTTTCTTAAAACCAATAAAAACCCCCCATAGTCTGGTTTAGATCTGGTTCTTGTCAGCCTATCCTGTCTGAACAATCATCAGTATTCGGATTGTGCTATTTATCAGCTCTTTTTCACGCCTGCACTTCTATCCAGAGCCATCTCTATTTGAAATGTAGAAAGTCACAGTGATACCACGTCAGTCACAGCTCCATCACAGGCAGCCACTGTACAGTGCGACATTCAGGAAAGCACTTCCAGCAGGATTCCTTGGTAAAATATCATATGGCATCTGGTGTGACTTGACTTGAAGTTAAGAATCCTTTTCAAGGAGCGAATATCTGGCAGACAGGTTTATGCCTATTAGAAAAATCACTGTATTTTTCTGCATTGCTGTATTCCAATAACCACATCCAGCAAACAATTAAATAGCCTGTCCTCTAAGTAGTAATTTTCATTTATTCATGTCATCTATCAAGCAATTAGATGACAGACAGATAAGATGCAGGTTTTTTTGGTACACCTGACGCAAAGACAACTGCTGAACACTGCTTGAAATAGACAAGACCCAAAGAGGGCCTGCGAATTCTACAAGTCAGTGTGAACAAGTATCAGCTGGACCTGAGTAAAATAAAATGCTTCTGGGGGGCATGTTTTCAATTTCTGAAACTGCAGTGCCTTTAAATTTAGAGCTAAGATCATCATTTGATGATTGCTGCTTTTGGCATTCGTTCATGCTGGTTGGTATCTTCACAACAGACACCTTTTAAAACACCATCATTTCAAGAAGAATGAAAGCTCAAATGAAACACGTTTCTCATGAAAAAAAACTAACAAACAAAAACCATACAGGAACTGTAGAGGTTCTGGTTCTTCAAAAGATAAGGCACTGACAAAAATTTCTTAGGTAAAAGGCTGCATAAGCATTTCTTGCCATTTACAAATGTGTTGTAGTCCAGAAATGGTCCATTCCTAGGCTCAGTAAGGTAGACCCTGAAATTTTAAGGACTGATCCCTCAAAGCTACATTGTTACCATAAACAAATGTGATTCATTCTTGAGGCCGTATGGCACGTTAAGAGACGTGATAAACAGTCTGGGCAGATAAAGGCAGAAGATGTTGTTTGTTCCAGCATCTTTCGATAACAGAAGTGCCATTCTTTGTGTCTTTGAAGAGATGCGATGGTAACTCTGGACTGCAGTTTCTGTGAAACTCATGCACACATATAAAATGCTATTAGCATTGATCATTGACAGGGTGGGAAAAGAGAAAAGGTATATGGCTAGTCTCAGCCAAGAGCTCCTCAAGGGCTGGGATTCAAAGTCATGGCTACTTAATGTTTTCAATTACAGCTATTTCTTCTGCTGCACAGTGCGGCGTCAAACCATTCATGTAAATGTTGTCTGTCTTTGTTAGAGCTGGCAGGATGTCTTTCTCACTGGTGAGGTGGTTGACTGACAGGGTTCTCTTGCAGGGAGTCAGGTCTTGGTTGTGGTTGACGGCGAGTTCTGCAGAGAGCTTCCTCTTGATAGAGGTAGCCCGCTGGAACTTGTCGTAGATCTCCACGCTCAGGCGTCTTCGGGTTTCTTTGAACTCTGCAGTGACGTTGGCTGTCCACTCTGCAGCGTGGGCTCTGAATTCCCCTACCTGTGGTAAAAGTGAGGGGAAAAAAGAAAGGAAGCATTACAAGGACTTCAGACATTGTTTAGTCTCAAGAGCCCAGTGAAAGCACAATGTGACTTTAGGCTGGCAAAGAGCTGCTGCTGCTAGTACAGATTTCTCATGTCACAAACTCATTCGTTTATTGATAGCAACTGAAAGAGAAATGTCACACTGGTAGGAGTTAACAGCAACTCAAAACCACAATAAAAGTCTCGTCTGCTAATATTTCTTCCTTTTAATTACAGGCAGTCAGCAATACAGGAAAGCTACAGAGCCCTGACATCTGCACAGTACCCAGCTGGTCAGGGGATGCTGAAATCCCAGCAGTCTGGGTTGTGTTATGTATTGTTACTAGGGTGCAGGGTTATTTAAGAGCACTTTTAGTGTATCTGGAATGATCCAGACAGACCTGGCAAAGATATTTCTAAAGCTGGACAGAAAAGCTTTTTTAAAGGAAAACATCAGCTGCTTGTGTTCCTTCTTTTCTGTGCTTGCTCAAACATGGCACCAATACAGCAACAGCTCCAGTCATGTCAGCAACATGTCTGCTTTCGCCACTGCAATGACCTACTAAACAGCAGCTTGAAGACAATTGCAGAGTAGTACCAATTGCACCCTGGAGGTGGGCATTTCCCCTGCTTTGTGCAGATTTCCAGTCAGATTGGCTGCAAGTTACCAGTTTTGTGCCTTCACTAGAATTTCATATATGTATGTAGATCCTTGCTGCCTACTCAGCTCTCCACATCCTTCTACTGACTGACTTTACAGAAAGGCTGACCTACTTTCACTTTGCCATCATCTTTACTCTGTGAGATTTCTTCCCAGCATTTCAATGTTTTAGTACTAGGAAAGCTGGAGCATCCCATGAGCCCAGACTCTGAAGGTAGGGTTGAGGAGGGGGAGAAAGGCAGCTGCTGGCATGGAATCCCAGGTTATCTTTAATTCAGCTACAGTATGAGGCAGACTGGGCAACTCACCGATATAATCATCCGAGGTGAACTGTGGCCTTGTAATTCATATACTATTTGTATTTTGTTGAGAAACTGGAACAGGCTGCCCAAGGAATTTGTAAATGCTCCATCCCTGGCAGTGTTTGAGGTCAGGTTGGATGGAGACTTGGACAACCTGGTCTAATGTGAGGAGTCCCTGCCCATGCCAGGGGGTTGAAACTGGATGGTCATAAGGTCCTTTTCATCCCAAACCATTCTGTGGTTCTACAATTCTTTTCTTGCTCATATTTCAACCAAACTCCTGTTACAATATTAACTACGTAACTAAAGGAAGCACCATTTAAGAAGGTTCTCTCGTTATAACTGCAAAGCAAGAGATTGATTCTCTTTAAATCTCTGCTTTGTAGGCAGTTAATAGCTGGAAGTTACAGTACAGGAAGGATAGACTGTTCCAAAGCAAAGCATTTCAGATGAATTAACCCTCTTACACAAATTAGTCTAATTGGCACTGCTCAGTCCAGAATTTCAATCATTAGCAGGCAAGCTTAGACTTGGCGAGCACAGCAATTAATACTAACCAACACCCACAAAAACGAAACAGGGAAATATGGGGATAAACCATCAGAGAAAAGTGGTCAATGGGCTTATTTATGCTTTGCAGTGCAGTGAAAACCAGGAATATAGTGATGGTAAAGGATAAGCAGCCTACCCAGAGGTGACAGGGTTTCAGGAAAAATTTCCCCTTTCAGAAACAAAACAAAACCCCTTTACCCAGGGCTCCTTTTATTCCATTTGTCTCAGCTTCAGTGAATTACACAGGTGATTAATACAGACCCATTCCGTATATTGTCTAAAACAAGGATATTATCCATAACACACACACTCGCCCAACTGAAGGATTATTAGTATTTAAATTGTGCAATTAGGGTCAGACACACTGCACTTCTGATCCGAAAATAATGAAACCTGTAAACGCTGGAACATTTCATCTGCTCCAATATTTTTATTTGCAGTAAACAAGTAATAAAAATACGATAAGCTGTATCAGCGTACCCCCTTGGGCAGGTTTGTCCTTCTCCAAAGCTTTGCTAAAGGCAGGCTGCTCAGGGTCATAGACTCATAGAACAGTCAGAGTTGGACAGGACCTTAAGATCATCCAGTTCCAACCCCCTGGCATGGGCAGGGACACCTCACACTAAACCACGTTGCCCAAGGCTCTGTGCAACCTGGCCTTGAACATTGCCAGGGGTGGAGCATTCACAACTTCCCTGGGCACCCTGTGCCAGTGCCTCAGCACCCTCACAATAAAGATTTTCTCCCTTATATCTAACCTGGACTTCCCCTGTATGAAGCATGCTTCTGTCCAAGGGAGCAAAGAGCCAGTATACGATTTCCTATTTCATCCTACACATTTTTACCCCTCACCAGCTGTGTAAGCATTTGCTAGACCAGTTAATTTGCTCTGGCACACATCTCTGGCATTGCATATTTTCACATTCAAGTGATGTTACCAGGCTGGCAAGTTTAAAATTGTGTCTTAGCAACTTACTGGAAGCTACAAGCATCTTGAACTGTCTCCCCATATGCTTTTAAAACTTGTTTTCACTTGTAGTTTCAATTCACACTTCCCTCATGTTTTCTCAGCAAAAGAAAAACAGTTGGCCATGCTCCTGATCAAAGCTAGTCTATGTAACCCTTAGGATAAGCTCAGAATTCCCCCTTCAGCTCACCTCAGTGCTGGTGATGTACCCATCTTGTACAGGGCAAGCTGCTGTATTTTAACTCTTGCACGCATAAGTTATTCAGAAGAACTTTAAACCTGCTAGTTGTTAGGATACGTGGTGACTAAATTCCAGTTAGATTTCTTTTGGGAAGCAAGTTTATGCAGCCAGCTAAAGAACATTATTAGATATGCTTTGGAGAGGGGCTCACGTTCCAGTTAAAGGTGATGTGGAACATGAATATGGTGGATTCAATTGTATTTACCTGTAGACCAGAGCTATGGTGCTAAAAAAGGTAGGCTATTTCTAAGCAGAAATGAAAATGCATTAGTAGTAAAACAGAGGTAATTGGCACAGCATGAGAAACTAGAATTTGAGTGCTGCATGAACTATGCCTGCCCCAGATTACTGCTTTCCGCCCCTAGCTTTTGTGTGAACCGAAATGCACTCAAAAATGTTATCTCTTCAGAATAAAACTCCTAATTCCATAGCACTTACGGGCTCAAGCACAAAAGGTTACAGGAAAAGAAATGTGCAGTTTTTAACAGCCAGTATACATAAGCAACATGCTCTTATAATTTGCTCTCTCCTTTCTCCATAGGGGCATTTCTGTATACGTTCAGGTTCTTTCTGTCCTTAGGGTATGACATTTTATCATAATGCATTTCAGCCCCTCTTCATCTGGGAGCTGACAGCCATGAAAAGTCTTATTCAAAGCGATCGAAATGCCAGTTGCCCATGCTACTCAAATAAAGGGAATAATCTTAACATACCTGCCTATTGCAACAACTGATTACAGTTCTCCAATTGTCCTTCCTCATTACAGCACACAGCTCTGTAGACTCTGCAGCTGCCATATTTTGGGCAATGAGGCACGAGGATGAGGCCTTAGTCACAGAAATTATTGATAACTTAGTACTTTACATAAGGCTGAATGACACAAAGCATTTCAAAAGTAACCGGAAAAACACCTCACAGTGATAGCACTTGGTGCATCTACACAATAAGCAGCACTGCTCTGGTGATGATGCTCATGCCTAACCTTTGGGGGAATAGAAATGCCACCAGTAATGGGGATGCAGTCCCTAGCCTAGTTCCCAGATTGGCTTCCTCCTCATCAAAATCCAGATTAGACTGAAAGTTGTTAGACATAGTTCACAAGGAGTATCAACTTTAACCTATTACCATTGTACTTTGAACATCAAGAACTAGTAATTTTATTAGGCATTTAAGCAGCAATACCCTTACAGAGCTAGGGAAGATAGGTCTCAATGACAAATTCAAGAAATACAGTAATGGTAACACAATAAAATATCCCACACAGCACACTTCACCACAAAATAAGATACTTCCCTAAAAATATTGAGTCAGTTCCTTGCCCAGCACAGGCAGCCTGGCCTCCAGCTACCATTGCAGATGGGCCTGGATATCCCATACACTGCATCATACCTGACAGCTCCAGGGGGTGTCTGAAATACCCCAAGTCATCTCCAGTAGCATCTCTAAATGTCTATGTTAAGGTGTTTCTGTCTACCTGTAGCAGAAATCTCACATTTACTCTACTAGGATATAATGAAGAATAGCCTCTGAACAATTTTGAAGCATATCTACTTATTTCTATTAAAGTCACTTCTCGCAGGCTGTGCACACGTTATCACCAGTATCATTTAAAGTCAGACATACTGAATTTGACAGAACTAGGAAAAAACATAAGCAACCCATCTAAATTAATAATAACCTAAAACCAGCTCTCAACCAATATCACCGATCAGACAAAAACTCTCTACTCATTTTCATCAACATCATGTTTTAGCTTTCTCACTCTAGCTCAGCTCTGTGCTTGGATAGAGGCCAGCAGCATAACCCAGAATATGTCTAAAAGGATGCTACTATTAAAAATGAACAAACAAAGAAACACCAGCCAAAAGCCACATTTGAAGATACTGAATCACCTGCTCCATTGGTCAGTACATTTACTCTAATTCCTTATCCTTGTCTGGAGTTCGAGGACCTTTCTGGAGACTCCACACAAATATCCAAGTAATTATACAAATCAAACTGCCCCCCATGCAGGAAGATCACTCATCCTATTAAGCGTGGTCTGGACAGCACAAGCCATGTAGCCACAACCTTTACAAGAGTAATGTAGGCTTTGAATTAAGCCACATCTGGGATCAAACAGAAAACATCCACAAGTCTAATGAAGGTTATCCTTAGATAGACCAAAATGAAGATACACTTGTCTAACTTTCCCTTAGTTTCACTCTCTTCTTTAAGGAGATTCCTGAAAAACCCCAATATTACAGTATAACTG